GCAAGCCTCTTTCGAAAAAAAGAGCGTCTAGACTGCAAGCAGAACTTTCAAAAAAGCAAGCCGCTTTTTCGAAAGAGAGCACCCAGGCAGTCTGGATGCTCTCTTTCGAAAAACCCGTTTGCATTCAAGAACGCCTTTTTTCGAAAGAGCACTTTCGAAAAAAGGCGTTCTTCCTCGTGAAATTAGGTTTACCGCCATCGAAAGAAAAGCCGTGTTCTTTCGATTTAATTTCGAAAGAACGTGGCTACAGTCTAGACGCAGGTGAAGTTTTTTCAAAAAAAGGCTACTTTTTTCTAAAAAAACCCTGAGTCTGGACACAGCCTAGGAGAGACTGGAGTTGTAAGCACTATGATCAGTGTGTCCTGTGCCAGTGATATTCAGCTGCTGCTGTGTACCCTGAGGGATGGACACACAGCATAAAGTACAACTATTGTAAGGATGCACTAATTCATGCTCTGAAGAGGCCTAATGGCTGGAATGCTTGGGGATTTGGAGAGGAAGTTGTAAAGATGAAATACCTTTATACTACTCCTAGTTAATTTGGTAAGCACAGCTTTGGTCACAGCCCAGCCGGTGTCATTCTGACTTCAGCTTCCCTTGGGAGTGTGTCTATACTGTGGTTGAGAGCGAGCTTCCCAAGCAAGATGGACAGACATGCTAATGGGCTCGAGTCATCATACTAAAAAGAGCAGCATAGACATAGTAGCACAGGCTGTGAAACCCACCTGATCCTCAGGCTTGAGAGCTAAAGCTCTAGCTCCAGTCAGAAAGTCCATATTGATGTGTTTATTGCTATAACTAATACACCATTAGCACAAGTTTGTCCATGCAGTCTGGGAGGGTCACTCTGGCTGTAGTGCACCCCCAAATGACTTCAAACCAAACAACCCACCAGCATATTTCACAGACTAGAAAATGTGTAACATTCTGATCATTCAAGCAAGAAAAAAAGAAAAAAGTGATTGTAACAGGCAAATTACAGTATTTTTAAGCTTCTGCTGGTAATTTTCTTCCAAATGTCTCCTAAATTAATCAATAAAATACATAGAAGGCAAAGAATTACCTCCTGAATGTCATGCCCAGAATCATGTCGCCCTTTGAAATAACTGCCATAGAATCATAGGACACTAGAACTGGACGGGACCAAGAGGTCATCGATTCCAGTCCCCTACCCTCACAGCAGGCCCCAGTACTGTCTAGACCCATGGTCACCAACCAGTAGATTATGATCTACCAGTAGATCTCAGGGGTTCTAAGAGTAGCTCTTGAGCCCTCTCTGAACTGCGCACCTGCGCAGTACGTTTACATTAGATTTCCTTATGTAATGTAGGCAGGGCTTCAAGGAAGGGGCGGGGCAGTAGATCTTCACCTGTTCTGAGACTTAAAAAGTGATCTTGGGTGTAAAAAGGTTGGAGACCACTAGTCTAGACCATCCCTGATAGATGTCTATCTAACGTGCTCTTAAGTATCTCCAGAGATGGAGATTCCACAACCTCCCTAGGCAACTTATTCCAGTGTTTAACCACCCTGTCAGTTAGGAAGTTTTCCCTAATGTCCAACCTAAACCTCCCTTGCTGCAAATTAAGCCCATTGCTTCTTGTCCTATCATCAGAGGCCAAAGAACAATTTGTCTCCCTCCTCCTTGTGACACCCTTTTAGATACCTGAAAACTGCTATCATGTCCCCTCTCAGTCTTCGCCTTTCCAAATTAAACAAGCCCAATTCTTTTATTCTTCCTCCATAGGTCATGTTCTCTAGACTGTTAATCATTCTTGTTGCTTTTCTCTGGACTTTCTCCAATGTCTCCACATTCTTCTTGAAATGCGGTGCCTAGAACTGGACACAATACTCCAATTGAGGCCTAAACAGCGCAGAGTCGAGTGGAAGAATGACTTCTTGTGTCTTGCTCAGAACACTCCTGTTAATGCATCCCAGAATCATGTTTGCTTTTTTTTTTTTTTTTTGGTAACAGCATCACGCTGTTGGCTCATATTTAGCTAGTGGTCCACTATGACCCCTAGATCTCTTTCCTAGACAGTTGCTTCCCATGTGTGAAACTGCTTGCTCCTCCTTAGGAGGAGCACTTTGCATTTGTCCTTATTAAACTACACCCTATTTACTTCAGATAATTTCTCCAGATAATTTTGAATTATGACCCTATCCTCCAAAGCAGTTGCAACCATTCCTAGGTTGGTATCATCTGCAAACTTAATGGTCATATTCTCTATGCCAATATCTAAATTGTTGATGAAGATATTGTACAGAACTAGTCCCAAAACAGACCCCTGTGGAATCCCACTTGTTATGCCCTTCCAGCAGGATTGTGAACCATTAATAACTGCTCTGAGAAAGGTTATCCAGCCAGTTATGCACCCACTTTACAGTAGCCCCATCTAAGTTGTATTTGCCTAGTTTATTGATAAGATGATGAGGAGAGACCATATCAAATGCCTTACAAAAGTCTAGGTATACCACGTCCACTGCTTCTCCCTTATCCACAAGGCTCATTATCCTATCAAAGAAAGCTATCCTATCCGTTTGATACTATTTGTTCTTTACAAATCCATGCTGTCTGTTACCTTATTATCTTCCAGGTGTTTGCAGATGAATTCCTTAATTACTGGCTCCATTATCTTTCCTGGCACAGAAGTTAAACTGACCGGCCTATAGTTTCCTGGGTTATTCTTATCTCCCTTTTTATAGATGGGCACTGTATTTGCCCCTTTTCCAGTCTTCCGGAATCTCTCGTCTTCCACGATTTTTCAAAAATGATATCTAACGGCTCAGATACCTCTATCAGCTCCTTGAGTATTCCAGCATGCATTTCATCAGGCCCTGGTGATTTACAGTCATCCAACTTTTCTAAGTGATTTTTAACTTTTTTTTTTTTTTTTTTTTTAAATCCACTAGCATTTACTATGTTAGGCATTCCTTCATCATTAGACTTCTTGGTAAAGACCGAAACAAAAAAGTCATTAAGCACCTCTGCCATTTCCAAGTTTCCTGTTACTGTTTCTCCCTCCCGACTGAGCAATGAAATAACTGCCATTTGCCACTGTAGGGAATTTCTAGCACAGATGGTGGTGACTCAAGGAGCAGAATATGCTACACATCTTTGCAATTCATTTAGAGGTTACAAACAATATGTAAATGGAAGTAAGTAGTCACTAATAAAATAAAATGATAAAAATGTGGCTCTAATATATAAACAAGTTCTGTCATCTTTAGTATTTTATATTTAAAAAGTCATGGAAAGAGAGAGTGAAGAAAGAGGAAATGGGTAAAATAGTTAAGTAAAATGTGTAATCGTCCACCCTACATGTTCCTTCCCCAAAACAACAAAAAGTATTTGAAGCAATAAGAAGTAAAAAAAGGGAGGAGGAAGGTGAGGATAGTGTTAAAGACTACATATGGTTTTTCTCCTAAAAATATAGTTCCCACTGTTGTAAACTTAATCACTTATCATACAAGCACTATGTGCTCTAAGAACATTAAATAACTGAGAAAATCTAAAATCTAGTACAAGTGACTAAATGTGACTGGTTGTTTTTGCATCATGCAAGTTTTCAGTCAGACTACAGGCATAGTGGGTAATGCTTTGCATTTTTGGCTATGAATGTACAGTAAAACTCCAATGGTCTGGTACTCCTGATGGTCCCGCACCATCAGGAACCCGGAAGTGCTCCAGGAAGACGGACCATTGGAGCTGCTCTGCCCCCAGCTTCCCCGATTCAGCTGCTGCTAAAACTGACCAGCAGCTGACTCCAGGAAGCCCGGGGCAGAGCAGCTCTGCCTTGGGCTTCCTGGAGTCAGCTGCTGATCAGTATCAGCAGCAGCTGACTTGGGGACACCTGGGGCAGAGAAGCTGGGGTGCTGCCGGGTTGGTCCCGTAATGCCGAGGAGCGGCACTGCGGGACCAGCCCCCGGCAGCACTCCAGATGCTCTGCCCCAGGCGTCCCCAAGAGCAGCTGGGATGCTGACAGGTTGGTCCCACCGCGCCAAGGGTCGGCGCTACCAGAACAACCAGGCAGCACTCCAGCTGCTCTGCTGCAGGCATCCCCGATTCAGCTGCTGCTGAAACTGACCAGCAGCGGCTGAATCAGGGACACCTGGGGCAGAGCCGGACTATCGGAAGTGGGGGCTATGAGGGGTCTGGGATGGCATCCCTCCCACCCCACCCCAAACCCCTAATAGCCCCCCTTTCCGATAGTCCGGCATATCTGATAATCCGGCACCCCCGGGTCCTAAAGATGCCGGATTATCGGAAGTTTACTGTATATACACCAACATCATAATACCCAGTATGTCCCTTCTCAGAGTATGATCTTCTGACCTGACAGGACCACAGACAAATGTGATACTTTTTTTTTTTTAAACCTTTAGCTTTCTTGCCCTCTGGTATCATCTCTCCCTCGACAGGGTAATGGATAATTCCAAGCAACTGATAATCAGATTGTTTTATAATTCCCAAAAAGTAGTTATTTGTTACAAAAATAAAAAGTTGCACCTATAAGCAACTTATCACAGAACAGCATAGCAGCCATCAGAAGTGCTTCCCTAACACACAGAGATTTAAATGTGTACCTTAACATTTTTGTTAATCAGAGAAAAGTTGACTAGAATCATGTGGCTAAAAATTCTAGTTAGTTATGAAAGTCAGTCTTAGTACCCCTCAAATTTTTCTGTCCTGTCATTCAGTTAATGCAGAGACAAGTGAAGGGCTTAATCACCTTACAAAGAACCATGAAAATGTAATGGTCAAAACTATTCTACCACCAAAAGAAATAAATGATAAAAACAAAGTTCATATAGACTAGTGAACTATTACATGATTTGATCAGTTATTCAGATGTATCTTACTATAGATTTATATTCTAAATCACAGCTTACATTAGGCTCCAGTAATGAAGGAAAGCCTATTTAATGCCCACCATATGCTGTCCTACTTTTGCTGCTCACAGCTGTGCCATCTAATCCATAGGTTTGGTGAGCATGCTCACTTTGTATTTGTTCTCCAGTTTTGTAGGGGTTGGAATGTGACCTCGCCTCCTGAAAGTGGTAAAATGTTTGCATTGAGGGCATGGCTTGGTGCTGGAGTCAATACGGCTGAGTTCCAGGAAGTATTTATACTTGATGATGTCATCATGCGGCAGGTTGTAGAGGACAGTTGTTTCATCCAGGTGTTCACTGCACTCTGTGATTGGACATTTTATATCTGCCTGTCCCAGCTGCACCTGCATGTAAACAGAAGGGTAAAATATTACAGCTCTATGATCTTTTGACTGGTACAGCTAATATTTCATGTCAACAATGTCAAAAGCAAAGCACTTCCAAAACATCTAATAATTGCACAAGAAAATGAATTTGTTCTGAATTAATAAGACATGCCATTTTAAAATCATTTTGAACACATTGTGCAAAATATCAGAGGGGTAGCCATGTTCGTCGCTTTTGCAGATTCAGACTAGGAGTCCTGTGGCACCTTATACACTAACTGAAGTGTAGGAGCATAAGCTTTCGTGGGCAAAGACCCACTTCGTCAGATGCATGTCTTTGCCCATGAAAGCTTATGCTCCTACACTTCAGTTAGTCTATAAGGTGCCACAGGACTCCTTGTCGATTGTGCAAAATGTGTTCAAAATTTGATAATTGCCCTTTTCTATTCACTCCCTCTGAAGCATCCATCTAACACTGACTACTATCAGAAGAGAAGATGCTGAGCTAGATGCACCATTGGTCTGACCCACTATGGCCATTCTTATGTTCTTAAACACAGATACTTGTTTTAGACAGAGAGTGCTTAATATAATACATTTCATAGATTAAAAACCACACACACACACACACAGTTATAGCATGCACTTCATAGGAAGTAAATGCATAGGGTCCAGTGCAGACAAACTCCACACTGGGAGAATTTCATCCATACAGAAAGAATAAGAATACTATAATTACAGAAAGTAAAGCTTTAAACAAGGGAAAGGCTGTACTTTTAAATATAAAAAAGGTTAAAGTTTTGAAATCATTTCTTCTGTCAGAGGTTTACCATATAATGGTGTTGCATCTCTATATGCAACCTACTCTACTCTCATGAACTATGTATATAAAGGCAAATTTTATCTACAGGAATTTCTATGGTATTCAATCATTGCAATACTGTAGAATCACAATTAAACCTCACAATTCTCCATTTTAGAGGAAAAAGGTAAAAAGTTCAAAGCCATAATTTGTGAAGAAGGGGACCTTACATTAAGCACCAAAATGGCCTCATTTTCCACTCAGAAAGATCAGTTTCAAAGTCACAGCCTGAAGTATGTGCTTAAGATGACCAGATGTGATTTTGCATAAATGGTACTTTCTTAGAAGTTGGCTGTGTGTGTTCTGAGACTCATCTGCTAGCTTCACTACTGCCTTTTGCTACTATTAGAACTGCAGACAGCCATGGAAAAGTAAGCAGGATTACATTTAAAGTCTTCCATTAGGGGAATAATTTAATTCTTATCACAGGGACAAATTCTGTCTTATGATACAGATGCATGTACAACACCAACAGGTGAAACTAAACATGAGACCTCTGGAGCTTAGTGCATGAGCCTCTACCGGTTGAGCTAAAAGCCAGCTGACTCGCAGCTAAGGCTGCTGAGCACACTCCTCTTTTCTTTTCTTTCTCTGTGAGTAGTCTAAGTGCCAGTGCACTGGACATAAACTACACCCAGCAGGTATGTAGTCCACTCAAGCCATGGAGGGTGTTAGTGAGGAAAAAAGTGTGGTGGGATTCCACATACGCAAGTGAAAGAATTCTGGCCTGCAGATCTTGTATTATTGCCAAGTTACCTTCAAATTCTTTATTTTTTCCTAGGGTCCATACATGGCACACAGCCTTATAAGTATGTAAACGTGCTCTACTATCCTCAGCCATTTTTTTGTTGATAAAAAGTAAAAAGGCGTAAATTACACAAAAAATCCTGTTGAGGCACTTAAGCAGGATTCTTGAACATTTTAATATACAATCTGCTTACAAGGACAGAACACAGAGCAAGGAGGGAGAGACAAGTAAGGAAGAAAATGCCACATATTACACCTGCAATACAAACACATTTAATACAAAAGTTTGATGTTTAAGACATGCTGTTATAAAATCTTTTGGACCCAACGCACAGGGCTTGACAAACCCTGGCAAGAGCTACTTGTCAGCCCCGCACCGCACATGCGCCAGACTGGTACTGCGCATGCGCAAAGCGCTTGTGAATGGGGCGCATGGAGCGACGAGCTGAAATCTACTCACCATGGGTGAGCAGATTCAGCGGTTTGTCAAGCCCTGATAATGCACACATAAGCAAATAATCAAATATCTGATAAGTGTATGCTTATTGGATAGTTGACTAGTGACTCAACTAGTCACTCTCCCCTCCTCCCTCCCGCTTGCTGCCTCTATCAAAGAGGCAGCAAGGAGGGGGGAGCAAGCTTAAAAGCCAATTCCCCCCAGCACCATCTCCCTGGTAGGGGCAGGGGAGGCAGAGGTGTAGCAGGGGACCAGGCGCACTGGGACAGCTGATTCCTGGTTCACGCCTGGGGCTGGGAGCCAATCCCACTGTAGATCTGCAGTCCCGTCCCCCCCTCCCCATCAACTAACCAATTAGCCAATTAGCTGATTAAACACCATTTAACATCCCTTAAGTGCACTCAGTTTAAATTCCAAAAGCTTGTCTAGTTTTGATACCTTAAGTTACAGATTGAAATTTGAACCCAATATGACTAACCTACCACTGACCATAGCTCCCAAAGGAAAAAGTTGCAGGTATCAAGTTCATAGGATCAGGGAAAGCCTGGTTAGTATACAGGATACTGCAACCTGGAACCAGGTCTAAGAGTAGGAGAACAGCTGGTAAAAGGAGATGTACAGATTTGATGACCCACTACAACAATTTGCAATGTATCCTGCTGCCTACTAACCCTGCACTGTCCTATGACTCCAGCAGTGTTAAATGTGCACTTATTTTTAAGTGGTATTGGACAATGTGCGTGACTCCTTTATGCGTGATCCATCCCACTCTGTATTCAATTTGGACACTCACCTAAAGCTCAGTGAAGCTCAAAAGCTAGTACATTCCCATCAATAGAAGCTGGCCCGATTAAAGATACTACTTCACTCATCTGGTCACATTCATACTCTGGGACAAATAAAGCAACACCACAAAAACAAATACTGGTTTCTTTTCCTGACAATCTTCTCTTCACCCTTCCTACTACATTTTTCATTTGGGTTTGAGCCAGAAAATCACAATAAAGATGAAAAAGGGAATGGGTGCACTGCTATTTTCATAAATTACTTTAAAAAAATAAGTTTTGAAAAATACTTGTGTATGTATATGGGCCAAAACTGCTGATGTTTAGGTTGTGGTTCATACGTTACATGCACAAAATCCAAACGGTTCAGTTATGATTTTCCACAGAATCCTAAAATGGGCCTCTGAAAAATATATTACAGGTTGAACCTCTGTAGTCTAGAACCTCTGTAGTCAGAGTTTGCCAAACCAGAAAATCTACCAAACCACAGGAGGTCAATATTGTCTGGCAGTATTACAAACACTGACACTGCTTTCTGGGCTCTTAGACATTTAAGGGTAAATTAGAGCTAAACAACAGCACAGAACACTAAAAGCAAGGACTGGTAGCTATAAACAAACTTTATGGGACTGAGAAACTTGACCACAACCATGACAAGTAGACATTTGGCTAACTAAACTCATTCTGGACTATGGATGTTCCTGGTCCAGGGAGTGCCAACCTGTACAGAACTTTGCACTATTGCATCACAAGATTCAAAGTGGTTTAAATACTTGAGAATTTAGCTCCAGTATGCTTCAGAACACTTGGAACTGAAATTGACATGGTCCAGAGAAAGGTAGTAGAGTAACAATTTAGGAGGTGCTTTGAGAAGGTCTCTCATAAGTCATAACAGGATGCCTAGCATACTTCAGAACAGAAGTCCCTCCTACACGCTTCGAGTTCTTTTTGTCAATCCCTCTATGCTCTAATACATGAGTTTCTGGGGAAGCCACATTAAATCTCCAAGTGACTCAGACTATCAAACCCAAAACCATTGCCAAAGCGGATATATTCTTCACACTCAATTTAGAAATCTTTGGTTACTGGATCAATTCAGTTTTCTTGGAGGTTAGCCAGAATCAGGTCCGTTTAAATCTGAGGATAATCTCATCATTTACAGGTCACTTATAGCCTAGTTCATTTTTTATGCTACTTAATTTTCAAAGGCAGCATTCGTAAATTGTTGGCATACCTTTGCTGCCAAGTACAATGGGATCTGGGTGAAAAGTTGTCTCTCCATTATCAATCCTAAATCATACTCCCTCTCTTAGCCCCTTGTTACTTGACAGTAGCATTTTAGCCTCATAATGAATATATGAACATTATTCTTTTAGTTAGTGTAGTGCGATGTTCTTTATCACAATGATTAAATTATAAGCCAGAGAGCCATCGTTACTGTGCATTACAACCTACAGGTAATGCTAGCTCATCAGCTTTTTTAAAGCAGGGTTCACTGAAGGGGTTCACCCTGATTATTATAAATGTAATACACCACACACTTCACTAAATTTAACTGTATAAATAATGTTCACAGTGCTTTTCAATCTCTTTGCTATACATGCCCTTTAATGAATGACTTATTATTGTTCATGGTGGTAGTTAAGTGATTGTGTAAGCAAATATATCCTAGATTACAGGCTCAGTAATAGCTTAAATACATACTGTGCTCTCCAGATCCATGTTACTTAGAGAGAACATTGAGTGAATAGTTCAGGAAGCCGATAACAGAATACTGGGCCTTTTACTCCTAGGTTACTTATTTGGACCTTATCTGTTTCAGTGATGAGTAAAAGCTGCTATTCCCTACAGGCTCTTAGGCTTATATACAATGATCTGATGGGCTCCTTTCCCAGTGTAGTGGTCCCAACACAGTCACCACTAGCATGAACTGGCATCTTTGTTGGCAGTGTCGGAATGAATGGGCACGAAGAGTAAACTGAAATGATCTCTCCCGGGTGTGATTTCAGAACCCTGGTAGGGGAATCTTCTGTTTGTGCTTTACTTGTTCTGTGGGTGAATGGATAACTCAGGGCTCCAGGGCTGCTGTTTTGGCACCACAGAGCTACAATCATCTTCTACCATCTCTCAAGGAAGGAGAAAGATGTGGAAGATTCTGGGTAGGACA